ACACCATTGACATTTGGGGCTGGCTCTCGTCGTGGGGCTTTGCTGGGCACTGCGGGATATTTAGCAGCGTCCCCAGTCTCTATCCACTTAATACCAGTCGCTCTCCCCCACCAGTTGTGACAACCCAAATAGCTCTGGACATTGCCAGATGTCCCCTGCGGGACACGGTCCTGCCCAGCTGAGACCCACAGAACAAGGGTGAGGGGCAGAGGGACCTACCTGGGCAAAGGTCAGTGGGAGTAGGGAGCAGGGGGTGGGGCACATCGTGTTGGGTCCCGTAGGTCGCTGTAAGGACTTGGAACCTTCCTCTGAGCTGCAGCGTCCTGCACAGGTGAACCCAGGAGTCCGTTGAGAGTGATGGCAGTGGCCTGAGCTGGAGGTGGTAACAAGGGAGGCAGACGGCGGGGATTTTGCCCCCTCCTGCCCAGGACCCCTCGACAGATGGGGGAATGGGTGTCGGGGTGGTACTCAGGGGTCTGGTGCCTGGACAGACACGAGGGCGTTGACTTAGCCACCTTTGACCTTCAGGCAAACCTGGCCTTGGGAGGCAGGGAGACTCCCTGGTGTGGATTAGAATAGTTTCTAATTAAGGTTGTTTCTGCTCATGGACAGCAGGTTCCATCCTGTGCAGAAGGAAGCCTGCCTGTCCCAACACTACCTGCCTGCATTGGTGTCAGTCTTCTCAAAAAAACAAGTTCCAACAACTACCTATTACTGAGCGCCGACTTCTTGTCGGCCCTCTGCGAAGGCTTCGGGGGCTCTTCCACATCCCCCAAACACCCAGGGGTTAGTTACTGTCACCTGCTCTGTTTATGGCCAGGTGGAGGAAAAGAAGTGCAGGGTGTTGGGATTCTAGGGAGCCTGCTGGGCACCTTGGCATCACACAGAGTAAGACCTGAGTCCCAGCTGTTTATCTTCTGTGCTGCCCTCTGCCCCTCACCAGCCCCATTAACGGAGGAGGATTCCGAGGCCCAGCACGGTGTGGGGGGAGTTGTGTGAGGCTACTAGGTGATGAGGTGGTGGTCCAGCGCACAGACCCTGTCCCAGCCTCCACCCAAACCCGCTGATGCTCCAGGCACCCGGAGCCTCTGCAGAGGCTGTTCCCCTGCCAGGAATGTCCTTCCCCAAGCTGCCTGGGCTTGCATCACCTGCCCTGCCCAGCTGAGCAGTGTGGTACCCAGTCTGTGTTGTTGGCACAGCATTCCTGCACTTGCAGCAACAGGCATCTGAGGTATTGACCTGTTTGCCTTCCGGCTCCTGCACCAGAGGCTGAGCTTGGTGAGGGCAGGGGCCCGTTTGTCCCACACCTCCTTGCCCTTCCCTCCCTGGAGCTCTTCCAAGCACCTACACCTTCTGGGACTGTAGCCAGCTTCCCCCTCGGGTGGTGTGTGGTGGACCAGGGCTCTTTCCAGGCTGGCTCCGGTTCCACTCTGTGCAAAGGCTGTCATCTGCATGCTTCATGGGTGTTCCGGAAGACCTTGGCTCATTACATATGTCGCCTGTTCCCGAGGGGGGTTGATGGCATTTCCCTGCTTTTGAATCCCTCGTCTCTGGTGATCATGAAGCACCGGCTCCTTTCAGTCCCAAGCCGTTTACTGAACACCCATTGGTGAGGAACTTCCAAAACATTCACTTGAGCAGACCTTTCAGCCTCCACTCCCATGGGTTTCAGGTCCCAGTTGTCCCCCTCCCCTGCATCTCAGGCTCCATGGCTGAGCAAGGTGACTGCCTGTCTGGTAGAAGCACTGAAGGTGTCGAAGGTAGTAAATGCAGGTGGGCCACATAAGCAAAGAAAACGCTGGTCACATCACAACAAAACAGCGAGAGCCAACCAGTGTGTTTTTCACTAGGATGAGGGCAGGACTGGCAGGCTTTAAGAACTGATTAAAAATAGACCCCATGAAGCGCCAACCCAAGCTGGGGAGCTGCAGGTCCCTGGCGGGGTCCCCAGTGTAGCCTGTTCTCACTTTATCTTTCAGGGCTCTCGTGTCCAGCCCAAGTCCCAGCCTCACTGAGCCAGCCGCCCCCAAGAGCTTCCCGCCGCAGAAGCCTCCCCGAGTGCTGACCATGTCTATCATGGACCACAGCCCCACCACGGGTGTGGTCACGGTCATTGTCATCCTCATTGCCATCGCGGCCCTGGGGGCCTTGATCCTGGGCTGCTGGTGCTACCTGCGGCTGCAGCGCATCAGCCAGTCGGAGGACGAGGAGAGCATCGTTGGGGATGGTGAGACCAAGGAGCCCTTCCTGCTGGTGCAGTACTCCGCCAAGGGACCATGTGTGGAGAGGAAGGCCAAGCTGACATCCAGTGGCCCGGAAGTCCACGGCTGAGCTGGAATGCAGAGGTTCCTGGGCCTACTGCAGCCAGCGGAGAGGCACAGGAGGGGCAAAACCACAGACATGCTGCTGAGGGGAAGGGTTGACACCTGCTGGCATGGCCTTGCTGGGCTTCGTCATCACATCCACTGACTCCTGGGGTCCCTGCTGTCCTGAGTCAGGACTCGGTGGCCCTAGTCCCCTCAGCTTCCTGGTGGGGCTGCCCATTGCAGGCAGTGGGCAGACCTGACCTTGCTGGGGTTCATGGCCCCATAGCGCTTTTGTTACTTGAATGTTTAGCTGAGCCTGTTTTTGATGGAGCTACTACTGTTAACGTGTGAACTCACAAACCTGTGAGCTGTAAATAGGCCCCAGAAGCACGTGCTTAAGCCTTTTTGACTTTTAAAAATATCCTGTAGAGCACATGGGACTGATCACGTTAATGGAGAGAGCAGAGCTGAGGCTATGGGGAAGGTCCTAGACATGTTAAGGCCCAAGGGCCCTGGATAGGGGCCTTTAGGAATACATATGTATGTATGTGCACACAGAGGATAGGACATGCCAAATGACCAGTTGGGGTGCTTTGGTGATTTCTGCTTGGTTAGCAGTGGTTGGAAGAACCATACACCCCTTTCCGTAGGCAGATCCCGTTGTTAATACCAGTTCCTGTTGATAGTGGAGCCGTTGCAAGGAAGTTGCTGTGGCTGCCTGGGAGCCAGTGACGGACAAGTCAGGGCATGGGTCCCGAGGCTGCCAGGTGCCCAGCGGCCGAGCAGTTTCTTGTCCCTTTGGTCTTGTGCATGCTAAGCACTCCCTCCCCACAACCCAGTGGTATTTAGCGCAAGCGTCGCTAGACACACCAGTGCCGGTGGTGGCTACCTTTAGCTGAAATCCAGCTGGCCCAGGGGAAACTGTGTTGTTGTATTTAATATCTTGTGCACTGGAGGGGAGGGGGAACGGACTTTGAGGTTTTTCTCCTTTCCCTTTTCACAAATTAGTTTCTTTCCTTCTCAGATGAGTACCCACCGGCTGGGTACTGGATTTCACTTTCCTCAGTGGGTCACCTGGGAGTCCCCCGAGCCGGCTCTTAAGAGGTCATTTCTGTGTGCACATGCACACAGGAGCCCCAGGCGGCTCCCTGACAGCCGTGTCTAGCGGGTCCCCTGGGGAGAGCGAGTTTCGGATTCTGAACTTGGTTTTTGCAAAGATGAGGGGTTGGTGGCTCTTAGGCCAGTGGCCCCCACAGCCCTCATCTCCAAGCTGCCCCTTGTGTATACATGAACTCGCTTAGATTTCTTAATCCCACCACTGTTAAGCAAGCACATTCTCAACTATGATGATGATGTGACCTGTGTAGGCATCCTTGGTGATAAACTGGAGGCCAGCCCTGGCCTTCCCTGCAGAGCACTGGCCCTTAGCACTTGAGCCGCCGGCCGGCAGCATGGGCAGGGTGCTCGCTTCTTGGTGGCCTGCAGCTGCCCCAGTCACCCCCAGCCCCTCAAAGCTCCGGCCTTCCAGGCAGGCTGATGGTGGCTCCTCTGAAAAGCATGTTGAACCAATTTGCTTTCTAGAGACCCAAGGAGGGAGCTTAGGGGACACTTATTTTAGCAGCGTATACCAGAATTGGGGGCCAAACATTAATAGCTTGGGGAGGGAGGGTTTGGCTAGTTAGGCAATGTGAGCAGAAAGGGGGGATGAGAATGGTAGTTGGGTTACTGAGGAACCCACAGAAGGCAGCTGGGCTTTAGTACAGGAGAGCAAAGGTCTTGGGCCCCTAAGGGGATGGCCAAGCATGAGAGTTGACCTGGTGGGCTGGTGTGAGCAGGACACAGTGCAGGCAGGGAGAAGGTGGGAGGTGGGAGGTCCAGGGGTGCCAACTGAGGATCAGGGAAGGCTGCTTTCTAAGCAAAACGTAGGTATAGGGATGGGTGTTTGATCCGTTCCCCTTGTATTCGGACTTCCAAGCCGCCTACCTCTGCTCTCTAGTCAGCAGCACATACCCAGGCTGTCCTTCACTTGAGTAACTGACGAGCACCTGGGGCTTTTGCATTTTCCGTCTCAGTCTGACCCTGAGAATGAGGGTCACCTGTCAGCCTTGCCCTCAGGTTTTTACCTTACCTAGTGGAATTCTGGTTTTGAAATTAAATGCCGCTTTCTTAGTTTCATTTCTTGAGATTCCGTATCTTGCACCTCGCTTGCCAGGGATGGCATCTTGCAGCTTGAATTGGGCCTGTCAGCATGATGGCAGTGCCAGGGTGAGGGTCGCAGGCCTGACAGGGCACTAGTAGGTCTCTAGGAGGAAAGTGAAAGTGCCTGTAGACCCAGTGAACCACCACAGATTAGTGCTCAGCAGCTAGTTTTTAGTGTAGACACCAGAGCCTCACACTCAAATGGCTTAGTTATGTCCTCCCATTGAATTCTTTCTCAGTAGCCCAACTGTTGCATTCAAATTTTCTGACTAGTCAGTTAAATTAACCTTTCGTCTCACATGTCAGTGCTGAAGCAATAGCCGGGGAATCGGGAGGGAAGTCTTTGCCCCTGAGCCACTAAAATAGGGACTAATTTTTCAGACAGGTCTTCAAATGGAATGTGCTACTGTTTTTGTCTCAAAGCTACCAAGTTTGTGCAATAAGTGGAAGGGATGTCATCCCTATTCAATAAAAGCTGAATGACATTCAAGTTGATTTTCTAGACCACTGAGAAAATCTTTATTTACAATAAATTTCAATAAAATTTGCATAAATATACTCCCAATGTACAATTTTCACCTGTGATTTCTTCATGTCATTTTAAAAGTTAGTCTGTCCTGTTCTCACTGTTCCTTTCGGATGCCAGCGTGGAGCTGACGTTGGAAGGCGGAGGGGTGCTGGCAGGTAGCCGGGGGGGCCCCACGGGCTCAGGGTGGTCGGAGTGCGCCTCCGCCGGCGAAGTGAGGGCTCCTCCATCCTTGCCCTCCAGTTTCCGCTCCATGGTCGCCACCAGGATCTTGAGCCACGTGTTCTCCGCAAGGAGGTGTTCTGAGGCGTCGGCCAGCTCCTGCAGCCTCCGGGCCAGCTGCTCGAGCTCGCGCGTCTTCTGCTCGTACAGGGCCTGCAGCTGCTGGCTGTGCAGCCGGAGCAGGCTGTGCTGCTCCTCCAGGGCCTGCTTCTGCAGCTGCAGCCGCTGCTCGTCCCTGCGCGCGCTGGAGAGCTGGGCCTCCACCTGCACCTGCGCGCGCTGAAGGGTGCTGATTTCCGCCCTCAGTTTCTGGATCTCTCTCTCCAGGTGGGAGATGTGCCCCTGCTGGAAGACGGCCTCGCTCTGAAGACACTCTTTGGTAGGAGGGTTAGCCAGGTTTTGGGAGGCGGACACAGGGTCTGAGTGATGCAAAATGAACTTCAGCAGGTTTGGAAGGGTGATGGGAAGATCTTCAGGGTATTTCACACTGAGGTCCTTTCTGGAAATGGAAAACAGTCAAAGACGAGTCACACCCACATTTTTAATTCAAAACCAGACTGCTACTGAAGGTCAGGCTGTTTACTTCCTACCAAAAGACATGTCAAGGATTTTACTTCTTGAAAGCAAGGAAAGTATTACCTGAGTAAAAAAAGAGTAAAAAAACCTCTGCAAAACTGAGTTTGTCTCATGTTCTTTCTGTAATTATGGCTGCTTATCTCCAATGTGCGTGTGTTCCTGAGGAACAAGCTCAGTTTCTACTCACGACCTCCCAAGACAGACAAGCATTCCCAAGCCCAAGCCAGATGCAGGGCACTGGGTGTGCGCAGGCTGCTGGGTAGAAGGGCATCCCAGGGCAGGACTACCACCCATGCCACTCTCATGGCCATCCACAGTTCTTATAGGAAAAACCTGAAACACTCCTCCATTTCTTCAGCCAGCACTTAATTACATGTTACCCAAGGGGGTGGGGGTGGGGGAAAGTGCCCCCTCAGGAGACAATGGCAACATCTGGAGACATTTTTACTCCCACGGCAGGGAAGATGTTACCCTTGATAAACAGGCTAAATAAGGGACTCTGAGGAATTAAGATGCCCGTGTGCCAGCACAGGATAACGACGGAGGTGACACATGAAGGGGGTTTTCTGCAAGGCTTCGTTTCAAGTCCTGATACAGAAAATTCCTTTTTGGAACTTGTCATTTACTTGTGTTGACAACGAAAGTTTCTACCTGTGTGTACATAATAGAGCTGAAGTAAATCAGAATCACCAGCTTGATGCCAGAGGTGGGCAAAAACAACCGCTATGTGGCCTTCAAGCACCAGAGCAGCAGCAGCTAAGGGCAGGGGTGCCCCCTAGGGCTGCTGCCACTGGATGAGGTCCCAGACAGGGGCCCCTCTGTGTCCTTGCACTGCCTCGTCTGTAGGAGGGGGCAGCAAGTATCACCTACCTCACAAGACTGCTGCAACAGTGAGGGCCACCTGAAGACCCTGTGGGTACTAATCTAAAAACCACAGCATTCCTTAAAAACCACCCAGAAGCCACTCATTAAAAGCTTGCATACCCTCTCCTCACACTAAGCCCCCAAGCCAAATATCTAAGAAAAGACAAACAGTGTCCTGTTAATGAGTAGTCCTTTCCCTGTGAAATAAAAATCACGGGAAATTAAAATCAGACATATGCCCCATTTTATACAATGCTTATGGAAACTCTCCAGTAAATGGAATAATCAAACATTTTGGGCTTAAGTATAAAGCCACACTTTCCTTTTAAGGCCTTGTTTTGTTAACCTGTAAGCTTTCAAGTGGGCCTCCCAGCCATTCAGTCAACAGCTAAAAACATCCTGGCCCCTGGAAAATGTGGGCGACGACACAGCAGGCTGAACCTGCCACCAAGTTCTGCAGCCCAAACCTGGTCTTCTAAGATGGAGAGGAAATGCAAATCATCCCCAGGAAAGAGCTGCCAAGATACCTCAGTGCATATCTGGAGACGGTTTCAGGACAGAAAATGACATGTGTAAGCATGCTGTTTGAGAGTTTCTGGAGCAGTCTTCATGAATCTACTTAATACGTGTGCTAAAATGCTTTCAAACTTTTCAGAAGTATAAAGGACACAGAATGTTAATAAACTGCTTCCGGAAAAGTACTCATTTTGAAAGTGTGATGGTAAAAGCTCTGTTTATTTGACTCTCCTCTAAATTCACTGGGAGTGTGTTTATGTACCTCTAGCATGTAAAAGGCCAAATATAAAAATGAAAAGGGGGTAGAAGGTAGTTACTCCACAGAAGGGATTATAATCCTGAGGGAGGGCAGGCTGCTCCTCAAAAGAAGTGAGGTCCTTCCCCAGGGAGACACATGACAGTGAAACCCCTCCTTCTGCCTTCTGCTGTCAGCCCAGGCCGGGCACTTGTATTTTGAAAGGTCACACAGAGTGGTGGAAGGAAAAGCAGCTTTGAGGTGCCCCTGCACAGGAAGGCCGGCCCCACCAGGAGTGGGAGGCGGCCCAGGGTGCACACTGTGGCAGAGCACAAGCTCTTTCCTAAGGTTTCTTTCATTACTAAAAAATCACAGATGTGCTCACCGTAGCAATTTGCAAAGGACATAAAAAGCATGCAAAAGGCAGCCCCTGGACCACACTTGTAATCCTCACTTCTCCTAATGGTCACTACTGACATCTTCCCTCCCGCTCACCCAGTGCACTCACAAATTTATATTTTATCAAAACACATATATACTTTTATATTCTTTTTACTAAAAAGAACATAAGCCTGTGTACCATGAAAAGGGTCTCATTACATGTTATCAACCAATCTCTTTCATTTATTTCCTCTTTTTCAAGCTGTCAGCTCATATCCTTTGCCCATTTACCTCTTGAGTAAACTGAATGTTCACTTTGGACCAGTTTATGAGGAGCTTGCTTCACTGCTGACCATCATTTATTTTTAGGAAATAATAACAGTTCCATTCCAAAGCTCTTCCCATGAAAACAGACCTGGGCAGTCTTCTCATATTCAATATTCACCCTGGACTTCTCTGCTCAAGGACACCAGTAAGGGGCTGCGGTGACTGCCAACACAGGGTCGGTCTGTGGCATGGGTTCATCTCCATGCTGGTTACATCTGGAGGCTTTAGGATGAGACACTCACCCCAGATATGGGCCCAAACACAACCCCTGACACCAGTTCTCTGAATGTGTGTATGTCTCTGTCCTAATACACAGTCATTTGCTCTTGTTGCTGACAACTTCTCCATGCAATGGCATGTGCTGGGTGTGATGACTTTACTATTTTTCGGAAGTATGTTTGGAATTCGAAAATTACATGTCATTACAACTCTGCTCAACCTCTGACACAGATGAAAATGCTTGTGTTACTGTCCACAACTCCTTGACTATGTGGCACTATAAATGGCTTCTTATAAATAAAAAGGCTCGTCTTAACAGTCAGCAGTAAGACAGGGTGAGTCACACTCTGCTTTTAGTGTGCTATTTGACAGGACCCTCCTGCCACAGGAAGTATTCCAGCAAAATTCTTTTGAGATAAAAAGGAAAAAACAAGGAAATGGTTCACTATGTTACAAAGGAAGCACTCTAGAGAAACACAAAAAGCATAGCAGTGGCTGCCATAAAGCAAGGAAATTACAACGGTACATGTCACATGTGCATTAGGAACCTAAGTGAGACGATCCTACAATTGCCGTTCCTTGTAGATACTGTCAAAGCCATGACTGGGTCCCTGAGGACTCAGCCTTTTAAAAACAAAAGCGAATGTGCAAAAAGGGAGAGAACATCTGGTTTATCAGGTGTTCAAAGGCCAAAAGTTCATTTCCCTTTCTACCAAAACATGGGCACCCACATTGACTAACTGCCCAGCTGTGGTCCCTTTGCTTATATCCCCTCCCTGCCTGCTGGGCTTTCAGGATAGTTGCTGTGCTCCTGAACTTGGAGTACACTGAGACACATGGTGATGACCCTATAGAGGCCCTCCACAGAAGCCTGCACCTGTGGGGAGAAGGTTCCTGGAACCCCAGAGAGGGGATGCAGCGGGCAGTAGAGCCTCCATTTCCTCCTTGCACAAGAGGGATGAGGTGGTCACTGGCAGGGCTCAGTAAGAAGGGACATGTGTGGGGGCCTGAGGCAGGCAGGACGTGACCCCCTGTAAGGCTCAGCAAGTGAGCTGTTCTGCCCCACATGAACTGGGGCACTTTGCATCCCCAGTATACACAGAAGGCCAAGGAAGCAAAGCAGTTCTGATGGCCACATTCATGCTCCTGTCAAACATACACGCTGGGCTGGGCAAACAAACCTCTTATAACAAACACCACACCTGACACCATAACAACAAAGCCTTTTACCTTCAGTCCTTAATGGCACATGTTTTGAATGACACATTTTATTCAAAGTAGTTTAGTAGTAGCTATTAATTTACATCTCACTTCTGTGAAGCATCTTAAACTCATTTCATTTTCAGCAAAAGAACCCCATCTGCCCCTATCCTGAAAAATTTCAGCATTACCTGTTGCAGGGAAAAAATAAGACGGTAGGAAGACGGTCAACCATAAACTCCCAAGGAAGATCATTCTGAGATACATCAATCCTGGGAATGGGGAAGAACAGAAGTAAAAGGTCAGCCCAAGAGACTCCAGCTGGAAAGAACCTCAAATAACTGAAGGCCCCGGAGCACTTGCTGTGGCCCACACTGTGTCTGCGTTGGGCACAGCTCATATGTGCAGTGCTGGTGTATCCAGGACAGACATCTGTCCACTTACCTAGTGGAGATATAATGTCCTGAAAGTAAAAATGAGGTTCTAAAGAAATGCCTCACTGACACCTGAGTAGTCCAGTCATCCACCCACCCACCTGACAGGATCTGGGCAACTACTTTAATCCTGGAATTAGCTCTGGAAATAGAAAAGAAATCATTGCATAAAATATACCAAGCCTTTCTGAAGATGTAAGAAAACTGGAAAAGAAAGATTACACTCTTTTATATTTTGTAAGTCTGGACAGAGGCCAAAAAGTATATTTTCTTTTTAGCAGATTTAATTTTCTAATACAGAAAATGATATCTATGCCCAATTACCCAATCTGTGTTTATCTGCTCTTGAACTAGATGATACCCTCTCTGAGCTGGGCATGCAACTCTAGGGGCTGCTCAGAGCAAAAAGAACATTCTATAAGAGGGGGAATAGTCTGTGGAGGGCTGCTTGGCCAGGTGGCTCTAATGTCAATATTCATAAACAGTGAACATAAAAGATGGAAACCTTTCAATCATTAACTTGATGGAAGTTTTCAGAAAGCATGATGGTGGGGGTGGGGTGGGGTGGAGGGTGTCAGTGCCATGCATTTGTCCAGAAGGATGAAATTCACTTTTAAAAAAATGACATAACCAAATTATCATGGCTTTATACAGGTTCACTAACAAAATGGCACTCCAGCCTCCACCTGGGATGGGCTACCTAAAACATTAGAGTTCCGTTTTTTAAAATGAATGGTGTTGAACACTTCATTCTATAATCAAATGTTTTTCACTCCTAATTTTCACTTGAAAGAAAAACCTACCTGTAAAATTAAAAGAAAAGCATGTGTAAACATCTGCTTAGAATTCTACTGCACTAATCAGATCTTTCTGGAATTCCCATTCAGGCTTGGCATATATACCTGCATATCACTCAGACCAGTAATCAGATATTTCACACTCTATTCTTTTCAGTTAATGGCAGGAAAAGCCTTGTTCTAACGAATGGGTAAAAATCCCATCAAGCATAATTTTCTTAACCATTTCTCTAGTGCTGGATATAAGAAAACGCTACAATGACCAGTCCTCCATGCATCTCTGGGACTCCTGGTGTTCCTAATTCCCCAAAGAAAAATTATCTGGGTCAAAACCATACAACCATTTTTGTGATTTCTTACAAATGTTGCTGAAACACTTTCCAAAAAGGTTATGCCAATTTATTTACTCTAACAGCTACATTTGACTGTACCAATTTCACTTTATAAACACAAGGTTCTCTCATGTAAAAGCATTTTTAATTTAGTAAGTGTAAATGACATTGTTGTTTTAATTTACATTTATTAGATTATAATTTCTCTGCTTATTTACTCTCTTCTTACATGAAAAACCTGTTTATATCCTTTTTTCACACTAGAGTTCCTTCCTCTCAGCTGTTTCTTTTTCTTTATTATATAAAATACACATAACCTAAAATTCACCATCTGAACCATTTCTAAGTGTACAATCTATTAAGTACATTCACACTGCTGTGCAGCCATCACCACCATCCACTTCCAGAGCATTTTCATCCTGCAAAACTGAAACCCCACTGCACAACTCCCCTGCCCCGGGCTACCAGCCTTCCACTCTCTCTCTCTCTGAATCTGACTGTTCAGGTGCCTCATACAAGTGGAACTCATACAGTGTTCGTCCTTTGTAACTTATTTCACTCAGCATTAATGTCCTCAAGGTTCATCCAGGTTAGTGTCTGTCAGAATTCCCTTCCTTTTTAAGGCTGAGTAATATTCCATTGTATGGATTGACCACATTTTCCTCCCAGCAGTTTCTTAAAACCTTTTTTTAATTTCTCAAGGTCTGGAGTATGAACACCTGATTCTGAATCCCAGCCTCTCACTTACAGGCTGTGTGACTCTGGGCAAGTTACCTAATCCTTCTGTGCCATGGTTTCCTCCTCAGTAAGAAGACAGTGAACATCACACCTGCCTCACTCAATGTTGTGAAGATTAAGTCAGGTAACATGGATGTATAAAGTTCTCTCAGTAGACCACCTCCTCAAATTTGGCTCTAACCATTACTTACAGCATAAATATATAGTAGGTGAGACACATATGCTATAAAATGTAGCTATGGTCCTTCTTCTGTTTTCCTTGTTTATTTTCATTGTATGTTTTTCTAGTGGAATTGGTTCATTTTTCATTATATTTTTAATTGCCTCACTTAGGAAAGTTTCCACCTTTTAAAAGAACTAGCAAATCCAGTATTCTAGTCTCCAGCTATTTTTTCTGATTTTTTATATTTAATTCTAATCTACCTGGATGTTGATTTTTTTTTTTTGCTGGGGTTGGGGGGAACGAAAAGATATAGCTTAAATCTAAACAGTCTGTCCCAAACACTGCTTACTAACTTGTTTAAAACTGAGTCTTGTTTTTACAAAACAATGATTTTAAAAAAATTTCTGTTTACTAATGAGCCCACATACAGTACCCAGAGAATCACAAAACTAGAATACATGGGTATCAACCAACCTTCCTTCCAGGCCCAGTGGAGAGACTTGCTCCAGGTCCCAGGCCAGCTGGCAGCATATCAGGGACTGGCCTCCTGTCAGTGGCCCAGGCCCCAGTACCTTGCCACTCTGAGAGCACCCTTCTTGGGGGATTACAGGAAGTTGGCCCCTTGGGGGGCTGCCCTAGTAACCAGGTGACCGCTGCTCCCACACAACTGCAGTTATCCTCCTATGAATTCATTCAGGGCTAAACATTCAACATCAGGGAAGGAACACCTGGATTCAAAAGGAAAACTGATTTCTATGAGATTTTGCTCTTGGTTTTATGCTGACAATTAAATTCAATCAAGTCTTACCAAGGTTAGTGAAAAATGGGCAGACCCTTGCAAACCATATGGCTTAGCTGCAGAGAGGAGTGAAAGCAGGCCCACAGCCCAAGGGGCAGCCGAGCAGGCTTCCTTACCTTGCCACAGTGAACATATCAGCTGGCAGGAGACGAGCTAGCTGGATGAAGACATGATTGAGGGATGGACAGAAGCCACACCACTGTGCGTAATACAGCAGCACAACGTCCTGAGGAAGAAGACGGCTGTTACTAACGCCTGGGAAACCAGCTCCTGGCTCCCTCACTGGGCTTAGAGTCCACCAGGCATGTGATAAATGTTGTGTAAGCACAAAAAACAGTGAAAAGTTTCATCTTTACATCTTTCCAATTATGTGCTTTCTTAAGGACCTTTTCCAATTAAAAAACCCCCATGTAATTCATGCATGTTCTGGAATAAGACTATCATTTGGGTAATCTGCACATCAAAGCCAACCACGCACCCCAACAAGTGCAGCTTTGAGCATTATTTTAATAGGGATAGATGGCTTGATTTTTTTTCCCTCTCTCCTGATTCCATACCTGTTTTTGAAGGACTACTTCCCAGAAGGTATCAGTTGTCACTTCAGTGATTAGATGCTGAGAAGGGAACTGGGCAGAGTCACTTCCAATAAGATGCCTTTTCAAAGGACTGTAGAGAACACTGAAGTTTTGAATAAAAGACTCTAAGAATAAAGAGAAAATGAGATCAACTCTTCTCTAGGTACAAAGAGAGTAGCTGGCCTACTTTAAACTCTACTTTTAAAAAGCTGAGATGGGGATCTCACTTCCCAACTTCAAGCTCTACTACAAAGCCACAGTAATTAAGACAATTTGGTACTGCACAAGAACAGACCCACAGACCAGTGGAACAGAATAGACAGTCCAGATATTAACCCAAACATATATGGTCAATTAATATACGATAAAGGAGCCATGGACATACAATGGGGAAATGACAGCCTCTACAATAGCTGGTGTTGGCAAAACTGGACAGCTACATGCAAGAGAATGAAACTGGATCACTGTCTAACCCCACACACAAAAGTAAATTCGAAATGGATCAAAGACCTGAATGTAAGCCATAAAACCATAAAACTCTTAGAAAAAAACATAGGCAAAAATCTCTTGGACATAAACATGAGCAACTTCTTCATGAATGTATCTCCCTGGGCAAGGGAAACAAAAGCAAAAATGAACAAGTGGGACTATATCAAGCTGAAAAGCTTCTGTACAGCAAAGGACACCATCCATAGAACAAAAAGGCATCTACAGTATGGGAGGATATAAGGATATATTCATAAATGACAGATCCGATAAAGGGTTGACATTCAAAATATATAAAGAGCTCACACACCTCAACAGACAAAAAGCAAATAATCCAATTAAAAAATGGGCAGAGGAGTTGAACAGACAGTTCTCCAAAGAAGAAATTCAGATGGCCAACAGACACACAAAAGGATGCTCCACATCGCTTGTCATCAGAGAAATGCAAATTACAGGAAGGAATGCAAAATACAGCAAAATATAATGTATAATTTGATACAGAAAAAAATCAACATTTACACAAGCCTTTTCAAACGTCTAATGAAGGAAACAAATCTCACCTCGACTTAAAAGAAGACCGCTGAAAGGACTATTATTTTCAGGTT